TCAGTGGCACGATACAGAGTGGTGTGAGTGGTGAGTAGAAACTATTGCAGATGATGATATCCGTAACAGAAACATCACTCTGCACGTTGACAAGCACAACCACCCATATTACTTTTATTGCATTGCCATGGTATCCAAATATGACGCGCCGCTACTCCCCATCTCGTAGCATGACACACTCACACACAAAGTGGCACAAGTGGCCACATGCAGCTCTGCCCTCCGCCTGCCCGGCCCACGCCATCATCTGCAATAACAAGTCGCAGATCTTCAAAGCTGGACGAGTGCAAAGGAGAAAGACATTGCGAGGAGCGACAGAGGCAAAAGAGAGAGTCGGAGCAGGAAGGGAAGGCCTCCCGATTCATCTTTAGAGACACCCCTTATTGCATCTTTAATCGTCTTCCTCGATGTGCTGGGACGACTCGACAGTTGGCTTCCAGAACTATTGAATTCACGCCCGATTGAGTTGAGTCACTCAGGAGGCTGGAAGTGGGCTTTTCTTCTCTCGGCCGCATCTCTTTTTTTAACTCTCCTGTTTTATCACTTCATCATTCTCCACCCCTGCGAGGGGCTCAGAGAGGCCGCCTGCCTGAGAAGTGCAGCGGTGAGCGGATGCTAACACGGTCAGCTAAATGTTTCAGGAGGCGGGGGGGATAAGACAAAGCCCTCCGCTTGTACTACAAAGCCTCGCTGTAACTTTGTCACACCACAATAGAAAATCAGAAGCATGACTGGCACATTCCCACAGCAACTCCTTTCTCTGACTTAAGGACATATTCTAGATCTAGATCTCAGATGAAGGCGCACGTCAGTAGACGTGAACAACACTGCGGTTTGTTGCTTTGTGAGAACAGAATATTACGACTGACACTAGCTCATACATCTTACAGAGGGGCGAGTCTGATGTCAATGTTGCTCTGACGGTGTGAAGACAACATGCTTGGCATTCCTGGGGGTTGGGAGTGTGATAATGAATGGTTAGCACTCTACTCTGGCTGCAAGGTGGAAGGACTGTGAGAATATCTTTAAATAAACACACAAATCGAAAACTATAGCATTAATTCAAGAATTAATTTCAGATTGCAGCTAATTTTTAGGAACAAAAATGACAACAACTAGTGAGAAATGGGTTCGTGTGGCCTTTGTTTCAGCTTGTCAAAAGATTTTTGTGCTTAAAAATGTAAAAAAGACAGATTATACTGTAGCTGTCCATCAGCTTATGAGTGCATTTGGATGTTTTTTACTTGCAAATAACTGATCACACCACAGTCAAGAAGTCTGCTTCATTTTGTTGAATCATTAAAGTACACAGAAGCGCCTTTTACCAGAAAAGCCAGTCAATTATTCTTGTTAAAAAGAATCCTAATCACCGTTGTGTCTGTTCTGAACCATGTTTGGTCACTTTTTTGTCTCTTTGTAGTCGTTTTATGTTTCTTTGAGTTCATTTTAAATTTCTTCCTGGTTTGTACGACTCTCTTTGAGTGACATTTCGTAAGGGAAGACCGGTGGGGCCCCTGACACTTTGGGCCCTTGTGCCTCTGCCCAGTAAGCCCGTTCTGTAATCCATCCATGCACCAGACTAGTGCTATAAAATTACGAAGCAAAAGTCCAAAATTGCACTTGTTGCATCTTGATTAAACATGTTGGCATCGTTCCTTCTAAACTATTGATTTTCCCAAAGGATATGATGGTGAAATATGAAGTGTATGAACTCTTACCGACTGTTTCAGGTGGAGAGACACAAACTGTTTCGCTGCTCAATGCATGTGTTGTAAACTGCTGTGGCCAGAGGCCCAGTGTATGAAATGAAACAATCGGAGCTGTGGCTGTAAAGATACAATAACATCTGTATTCACAAATGCATCAATATCATGTGATGAGATTCAAGGTTTTATTGAACAGCTATAAAGAATGAAGTCTTTACTTTCGCTGTATGTGGAAGTTATCACTGTGGAAATGTCAAGTCCATCAACAGGGTCATTGTTTATGTGTTTAAGTGTTTCTAAATAATTCTGATAAGAATTACAAAAGGTGTGCAGGTGTTTGGGTCATAACCTTTAGAGGTTTTGGTTTATTAATAGTGATTCCTCCCACCGTGAGGATTAACTATTAATCATTTCTGCAGGGAGAATCTCGACACTGGTTTTTCCTCGGAGCTTATTGAATTATTGAGGCTTAATTAATATCCCGCTAATCTCAAAATTTCAGTCTGTAGGAGATTCAGTTACGATTTCAACAATCATATTTACAGTGTGTTTCATCATCGTTGCTGAGTTAGTTGGTATTATTAGGTTCCTTGCGTTTCTCGTCTCCCCGCTGCCTTCACGCCTACGAGCAGAGAAAAACTTTCTTTCCTCGAGCTTTGTCGAGTGAAAATAATCATTTATTCTCTCACCCTGAATATTGTGTTGACAACGGAGGAGAGGAAAGTGCAGGGAGCGCAGCGCCGAGCTGAGCCTCTTGTTCCAGCAGAGGCTCAAACTCAGAAATTTAACGTCGGCAAATATTATTTATTGTTACAGCTATTATGGTCCTTCTGAGACACAGAAAATACAACAGCCAGCAAATTGATTGCCACTACTGGTTGTCTGTTTGTAAGAGACTTTATAGACACTTGATGATTATTTGTTACCTGTTACATCCTGTCATGTCAACCTTTTATATTAGGTTGTGCATTTTCAAATGCTAACTGACACACTGCAAATCAACTACAGCTGGTATTCCTGCAGACCTGATGAGAACTTAAAGCGGCTATAGTCTATATATTTTTAAAACAATGTATTAAATGATTTTATGCCCCAAAAATAAATCTTTAAATTTTTTATTTTCTTTCTTAAACTATGACTATTATACGTAATTGTATATTATTTTCCTTGTATGGCTCAAGTTGTACCATCTGAATGGTGTCATGGGTGAGGGTGACACACAAACAAACACACAACTTTCATCCAGGAGACGTCTGTTCATGTCCTACATGAAACTTAAAGTAAGAGTTGTTACTCAGTCAAGTTAACATCAACCACGCTAACCTAACGACCTGTGAGTTTATTCTGAAAGGACGCTATGCATATAGCAAGTGCATACTGACATATCGTCCCTGAAAAAGACCAAAGCTGACTCTAGAGGGGCACGTAGAGCGTCATAGCTTGAAGCTCAGGAGCACTGGCCAGGCTGCAGGATTTGACGTATTACTTGGAGGATGTGTTGGTGTCGTTAACGGCCACAGCAGGCAGCTGTTTGCAAAAAAAAAAGCTGTAAAAGTAAATTACACTATGTGTTCCAATCCACCAATAAACAGACAAACAGAGTTAGCAACTAGCTGGTGAACACAGTGCAACGTTTAGCAGTTAAAGAGTGAGATTATCCTCAGGAGCTGGTGGAGACCAAACACAGAGCTAAAAGAGAGTTCTCCATGTCAACTACAATGCTGATCGGTGTTTGGAGTCGGGGTAATGGAGGAGTTTGCCCCCATGCAGGTTGATCCAGGCCTCATGATACTCCATCATATAGCTTGATATAATCAGTGTGCAATGTATGAATTAAATGAAAGCAGAGATTATGATGTTCCTGAATGTACAGTATGCGCCCAAATACAGTTCTAATTGTGTAGTTTGATGGACTTTTGCCATTGATATGCTCATAAAACGAAGACATTTGGAATACATTTGCACAATGAGAACAAACTGCATACATTAACATTAAACAATTATTTTTATTCCAGGATGACAGCAGTGAAGCAATGAATTCAAAGCTCATTTGAAGCTATTTCATGTAGTTAATCCCGGTTAATCGTATATGGTGTGATAGAATTTGATTTGATGAGAAAAGTTTTTGGATTTCAGTGACTATTTTGCCGTTGAAATGAGTATTACATGTATTTAAACATGACGACAATGTCCTTTAACTGGCATGTTAAATGTGTGGCCGACTTTTCACAACAACGAGTGTGTGTGTTTCTCAGATAATGAGCAGCAGATATTACTGTGAAGAGGAAACGTGCAGCTGCATCACTAGCAGACATATGCAACATGTAGAAGAATGTGTGAGACTCAGTCAGTGGTAATATTGGTGCTCACGGTTTCTTCTCTTCTGTAGAACTGCATGAGCATTGAAAACCACAGTGTGCTGTAGCAATGCATTTCAACATGTGATCCACAGCCGTTACCTGTGCCTTTAAACACAAACTGCTGTGAGCAGCAAATTATTCATACGATCCAGTCCTGAGAGGGAAAAAAGAAATGTGTGGAAGTTAAGCCACCACTTCAAAAGGTGAACCGCACAGTGCTGCTACACCTTAACTCGGTCTTCCACTATTCTTCTATCTTACCTGACTTTAATTACTGCTGGCACATCACGGTGCTCAGCCAAGTAGAAATTAATGAGAAGGATGAAATATGTGATTACATGCTCATTTGACTCTTTGGACCTAAAATGAACATAAGTGGCCCTGCAGAGAATGTTGCATGAATTGGTATTACGTGACACATGGCAACACTTGCATGCACAGTGTGATCATGCGCTTTTCTAAAACGCTGCAATTAATTTTGAGGCTGTGCAAAAACCTTTATCTAATTACGCTGCTTTTGAACGAGGCTGATTATTACGACTGTAATGAAGACACCCAGCGCTGTGATAATTGTGCCATTAATGGGGGGGCTATTTGGACACGCAAATCCTATATTTCTTATAAGCCCCTCCCACTGGGGACTGCACAAGATGCAGCATTCACACTGCGTGGAGATGAATTGCGGATGTGTGGATATAATTATAAAGGGAGGTATAAGCCTGCAGTTCAAGACAGGAGGGAAATGACTAATGTTGGTTGAGGTCTGCCAGGAACCAGGCAAATCATTTATCCAGCTGTAACTCTTGTGTACATGATTGCACAGGAGCAGGAGAATCCTCAGACTGAGCTTCTGCTGTGCATGCATACAGCTTGATCACTACTTGTTTTTCAATGTGTGAGTATGTCATCAGTATGTATTTTAAAGGAGACCTACCTGAGGGTGAACTGCTCCACAGTGGAGTTGGGCATCAGGTAGAGGAAGATTTTGAGGGTTTCTCCGGGCTTCAGGGGCTTCTCGGGCAGCCTGAGGAACATGTTCTTGTCCAACTGCTTGTCCACCAGCAGCTGCTCCTGGCTGGCCTGGTACAGGCTGATGCTCCCGATGCGCAGCAGGGGGTGCTGTGACAGAGGCTCTCCCCTGGAAACACCACCACCCCTATGACCTGAGCCCTCAATGCACTCCCCATCCAGACTGGGCCCGTGGAGCGTGTAGTAGAGCTCCGCCTGCAGGGTCTCGCTGGTGAGCCCATCCAAGAGCCCGTCGGTGGAGCCTTTCCTCCGACCAAGCGGGGCCACGTTGGTGTTAAACCAGGACGGGGGCAGGTCCAGCTGGGCCAAGCACTGCGCCAGGTTGCCTTTCATGCGGCAGGAGGTTTTGATTTCGCGGACGTCCCGGAAGGCGTGCAGACGGACGCAGGGCAGCTGGTCCTGCGCTTTGAAGTCATCCCAGTCGCGGCCGGCGATGTAGAAAAACACCTGGACTGTGGGGTTGTTGGAGAAGACCCGCGCCTGGACAATGAAGGCCCTCACCTTCCAGTTGACGGTCAGCTGGCCGGGAATATCCAGCGGGCTGGCTGGCTGGAGCAACTCCTTGGACAGGGCCTGGTCCCGGGCAAAAGGCCCGAAGGTTATGTTGATGGCGGGGAGGTCTTTTGTCTGGAAAACCACGAAACTCTCAGAGCGCTGCAGCGGGTGTCCAGTGCTCGGGCCTCTGCTGCCCCTGCCGCCGCCAAATGTCTGTCCTGTGATCTGAGCCTCCCGCAGGAAGAAAGCCAGTTGTGCATTGGACATTTTGAAGTTGGCGGGGAGGTACACATTGGGTGGCGAGGGACTGGCGGTCACCGCTGAGGAGCTGAGGAGAGCATCGGAGCTGGTCGGAGAGATTTTACCTGCAAGAGCTGTGAAGAGAAGAAGGAGAAGAAAGATAGAAAGATTTAAAATACAGTCACTTTTTTTAAACAGAAAGAGATAATTAAAGATATAATATGAGAGGGGGGGGGGGCAGTGAATCAAAACAATGAACGAGGTGTAAGCAGGAAGTCCCAGAGGTGTGCTCAGTCGGCCGTGGAGAGGAAAAGGCGAGAAGGTCAACACACACTAATCAGATGACAACTGGTCAATACATGTAAAGAATCCAGAGAACCGGCTGTCCGATGGAACAGGTCGGTCACATTGTCAAGGTGTGCGACACGTGATCTTTAACCGGCACCGTGACAACACACTCAACCAGTGTTTGGCTATTCAGCTATTTGAACTGCACATGACGAAGATACAAACTCGACACGGAGGCAAAGCTGAGCTTCAGACTAAGACTTGTGTTTGTATTTGAGGAGCACACACATTTGTTATCCTTCGCATTGCACTTGAGAAAAACAAGTCAACATAGCTCAACACCCAAGTTACGACAGCAAAATCAAAGTAGGGCAAAATCACCGTGGAACAAACGGAATAAATGTGACATACTTATCAAAATTACCCAGAGCTGAGCACAAAAACAGAGTTGCCTGTCCCTATGGTCCAAATCATAGATTAAAAGTCCCATATTCCAAATGGTTTTATCATTGAAATCGTATCCTTTGAATCTGAAAAAAAATAAAGATCAAGAGGCTCTTTTTCAATTCCTGCAAAAAGGAAAGCCTCTTCAAAAGGTGTGTTACTCAGCTAGAACTCCACAGAACATCTTTGTCATGAGTTGCAAAAGAAGAATAAATGAGGGTTGTAAAAAAAAACACAAAAAGAAAGAAAGGAAAAGAGATATGCTCCAGCAGTTCTTCACTTGGTCATGTTCTTGTATCTGGCTACAAAGGTTCCCTCGAGCTTCTTGAACTTGTGCTCGTCTGATTCACCGTGGCTTAGGTCTCGGTTTGAGAGCGGTTCAGCCCCACGCGGCAGCTCGTTCAATCCCAGACTGAGCATGGCTCCGGGGCGGACCGTGATAGACAGCAGAGCCTCCTCCCGGTTGGTGGGCTGTACGGGAACTATAGACAAAGCCTCTGACGCCGCCCCATCTTGCCACACCTAGTCTCTAGTCTATAATCACCATTTGAGCTCCTGGTCTGAGCTAAGACACACTGCCCCCAGAGGACTCAACTTACACCCCACACACTCGCACACACTCACACACACGCACGCCGACACACATATGGAGGCGAAAGAAATAACACTCTGCAGCTCGATTCATCCCCTCCCTCTGGACGTGTTGAGACAGACCCATATGTGTGTGTGCAAGTTTGTCTGTAAGGGCTTTGTGTGTGTGTGTGTGTGTGTGTGTGTGTGAGAGGTGGGGCGGGGGATGGATGTATTGCTTGAATGCCCCTAGGCAGAGAGGGAGAGTAAGAGAGTGAGAAGGAGAAGGGGAGGGATTAGGTAAAGATTATTGATGAATTAGCCTAGCTCTCCTTCCCTGCTCCTCCTCCTCCCCCCCCATCACCTCCTCCTCCCCCATTTTGTCTGCTTCAGCCCCATGAGAAATCCATGAGAATAAGGGGATACCGGCGGCCGGGGGGGGAGGGGTATCAGGACTGCCTGCCTTGCTTCGGCTCACATGTGCCTGAAATTCCCATAATAAAAGAGAGGGGGGATCCATGGATGTGTGTGTGTGTGTGTGTGTGGGCCCCATAAACTGAATGGCAAACAGTGGGGGCAACAAAAGATGAAGCCACAGCCGGGAGAAACATCCCGCACTTACAAATGAGCAGTCGTAGCCATAGAGAAGGCTGCAGGAACTTTACTGATTAGAGGAGCTACTTAGAGGCTGTCTAGTCTTTATCGACCAAAAGCTCTCTACTCGCAGGAATGTGTGTGTGTGTGTGTGTGTGTGTGTTTGGAAAGCAGAGCTGCTCTTGCCTTGATCAACATTAAAAGCGACAAATATGCACAGCAATTCACAAACTTCCTTAAGCTCCTCCACCAGAGCGCCATCTGCTTCATTCTCCCGGGTCCAAGCACGGAGCCGCCGCTCGAACCTCCCACCGTCACTGTATATTCTACCAGTCACATGGCAGCCCAACAAAACCGAGGGACCAATCCTCGCCTCAGGGCAAGATACAATACGGGCCTCACATGTGAGGATATACAGGATGCCTGCCAATGTTAACATCAAAGCTCTACGTGGTTTCACTGCTGCGTGCAGAAAGTGAGAAGATATTGGAACAGCAGACCACTTTGCTCGATGTCTTGCTGTGACTTCCGGCGGCGGCAGCCTAGAGCGCCGAGAAACCTTGAATCCCCGGACCGGCTGTGACTTTCAAAAGTGCAAGCGCAAACGTTTTCCCCTGCCTCCGAAAAGTGTTGTTCGAGGTGTCCTTGAGCAAGGCTCTTAAAGAAATGTGTCTCCATGTGTTCCACAAGCACCTGCTGCTGGCCAAACAGCCCAAAACAAAATGGTTTCCAGCTTGCTGCTGTTTTTCTAAGTGGTTATTTTGTGTTTAAAGCAGCTTGCGTCGGACTGTTGACTGCTTCTCTCTCCTGCGTCTGCTCATGTAAACACGGAGAGGCTGTAGGGCCACATTTAGCAACTTAAGGTACAACTGTGACTCCAAACAGCTTACTGACATTATTTGAGTTTGTGCAAGACAATCACCGAGACAATTAACCTCCAAGAAATGGACAAATACACATAAATATATCAAGGTCAAATACTCATATTGTGATCATTCATATCATATCATTAATACTTTTTGTTCAATTAGCTTGGCTTGCATAAACCGAACCAAGTACTTTTGTTGCATAATTGAATCTAAAAACTAAGCAAACCTACGTTGGAATAATACTTTGAGAAACTGACACGCCGTCCCCGACACGTCCACAACTGACACCGCATGAGTACCTTGAAGGCCAACGCTGACCGACGGTCTGTATCTGACGAGTTGGGTGTGACCACTTGTTGTAATATTAGATATCTTCTCATTATTTCTTGAAATAAGATGAAAATCCTCCGAACACGATCAGAACAGTTCACACTGTCTGGTGGTCATGATGGACATGAGTCTCTACTGACGTGGTGTTGCTGCCTTTGGCTGCTACTATTTAAAGAAACGTTTCACAAGAGTCAACATTAAAGTTTTTAACGAATTATGGTGGACGTAAACCATCACATTTTTTAAATTAACATAATTATGATCATCTCTGAAGAGGGAAAGTCATGTTTTCCCTTCATATTCCCACCTTCTACCATGAAACGTGTGTATCAAACAGAATGTTTAAACACATGTGCCGTGTCCATAATCTTTTTCTATAATAATGACAGCGACAAAATATGATTTGTCTCTTATTGTCCAAACCCTTACAGTATAATTACCTATATACTACTTTATGAGTAAACCAACAGAGACAGTTGTTTCATGGCAGATGACAAAATACATCATTCATTATATATTAGGATGTAATAGTCCCTCATCTGGTAGTGGAAGTCAGTGGCTGATAGTCACAGACTGTGGATGTTGCTGGAGCACAAAAGTATATTGTGCCAAAAAGACAATGGTCTGTTGCCTCTGTCAACCTCCTGGGGACTGTGAACTAACAATGACACAGCAACTTTCATATTACGCCTGGAAGTCACCTGACTACCGCCCAGCAGTCTCCTAATCCCTTTAAAATGCAATGAAACTCAACTCTGACAATACATTGCATTGGATGCCATCAAACTAAACAAATCTTCGCCCCTTCCTCTAAACCCCCGAGGCCCCGTGGTGTCATTTGAGAAGGTGATTACGGCCGACGATGCATCAGGGTGCTCTTGTCTCATTGCAGTCTAACAGCATCACTGGGTAGGTGGGTTTGGAAGGGGAGCATGGACACAGATGGGCTTCCAGTGTGAAACCCTATCGCCTTCCTCTTCCACTTGATGTCCTATTAGACCTCGGGCCAAATTGAATTGAATTCTCTTCCTGTTGTGCTCCCATTACGTGAAACATCTGCTGTGTGTGTGTGTGTGTGTGTGTGTGTGTGTGTGTGGCAGGGGAAGGGTCTAAGGGCACTCTGTATTCACCAGATTACTTTGTCTGATGTCAATTAATGAAAGTATCGGACCACTTTGAGGCCGAGACCACTTCTACTGGTTAGCCAATAACAGTCGCGACAGACGCTTCAGATAAGACAAAAACACGTGAATGTTTGTAACAATACTGCTGATTTATTTCACTGGAGAAATGAATCATCCATCCACTGATTGGAGATATCGTGGTGTTTTACAACTAGATTAACTTTGATACACGTCCACAACAAGCGTAGAGAGAGAGAGGGACTTCATGCTCTGCTCAGGTAAACATTACTTCATTAAACTTCACATAACAATAGTTGTTTTAGCTATATTAATGCATCTTAAACTTACACTGAGACTACTGGGGTAACGGACCGTCGATCCATACTGTGAGTTCTATGATTGATTATGGTTTCACTCCTAACTAAGACTAATTTAATTTGGTCTGAACTCAGACTTAGGCCTCACAGGTGGTTTGGCAAAACTATTTGGAACAAAACATCTTGGTGGGATAATGTATGAGTCCAGCCAACCCAAATAATCCACTTAAACACAACCATCTTCTTCAGGTCAACCAGGTATCTCACATATTCTACGCATTCAAAAACAAAGGATCTGGAAGTATGTGTTGTGCTGTTTAATCTCCTAAAAGCATTCAGCAGAATGAGGCTAGAAGGCCTTGTTCCATAGTTAAATGAAAGCCTGAACTGTATGTCCTGCTGCATGGACAAAAAACTGTCAAACATAAAAGCCGGCTGCCAAGTCAGAGGGAAATATATGGAGAGGATGTTATAAAGCGGGGGCAGACATTTGATCTTGAGGAAGAGAAGTACATAAATGTCTCTTTAAGTAAAAGGTCAGGAAAAATTGTTGAGAGGGTTTGGAGAGAGATGGAGCGTCCTTACAGCATTACTAATGCTCCAGCACCGAGGGTTTCCCTATTGATCTCCATCTAACCCTTCACTCTCTTTACTCTGCATTCAGTATCGCTCCACTGCTACTACACTGGGAATGTTGAAATAATACCTTTCAAATCCGTGGTACCTACTTATAATACAGTGAGAGATTACACTTAACAAACTTGTCAACTTTTAATTTCAGTATTCTTTATTCAGATTCCACTTTCGCTGAGACAGTTATGCAAATAATGGCCCAAAATCTAAAATGGTTCACATTATCATTTCAATTAACACTGGTGGAGTTGGTCCTATTTCTACCTCCCTGAGGAATGTCTATTTCCATCTCAGTCAGACCTGGATTACCTTCACAAACGGACTGCAGATGGATTATCTCGGACTGTGTGTGGCTCTATATTTCATCACTTTTCTTCTGTATGCATAAGGAAATTACATTCCAGTTTCAGTCACACTGGGGAAGCTTTTTCCAGTCCATGTATTTGCATGAGATCAGATCATTTTGGTGATTCAGAGTAAAGTAGATTGAATCAGTCGTTCTACATGCTATTCACGATATACAGTATTTTAAGTTAAATGTCCGCTGAAGCGTCCACACACGTCTAACACACTTCCAAATTAAACGTATCTAAGATGTGAATCGACACGTTGGTAATCATATCATGTACATCCCACTGAGGCAGAAGCACAGAGACTTCGTGCACGGCTGAGATGCAGCCTTAGATTCATTCAGTCCCTCACTGATTTCAGCCATCAAACGGATTCAAAGCTACACTTGAATATTTACGCTGAAACGTAAGGAAACGTTGCAGGCTGGTGACCCCACAATTGTTCCAAATTCACATGAGGATCAACATCCTGTACTCCTTAAAGAACCAGTCAAATAATACTCATTGTATATTTTTCAACATTTATCTATTAGATATATAAAACTTGTGGCCGTATACATAAATGTATCCAGTTAAATGTGATCTGGCTGACTAGCTAACCAGCCCATCATGTCGAACCTTCCCTGACTGTTAGCTCGTTGGACTAGCCAGCAGAACAACCACTCAAGCCAAACCGAGGACTTTAAACTTGGGTCAATCAGGTGATGCCATTGGGGCCAGAAGGATGTTTTGGTAAAAGAGACCTTTGTGAATGTGGATAATTGTCATAATTATTTTTCAGACCCTATTTAAATCTGGTCCCTAAAGTTGTAAAATGCACAAATAGCTGAATCCATTTTCCTTCCTCTATTGATGTAACAGAGCCTGAGACCGGACCGAGTGCTGGGAGGCGGGGCTAAAGGATACGCAGTGCTCTGGATCTTTGGGTCCGTGGATGCAGAAGAAAATATGTCTCATATCAACATTTCTACATTTGAAAGTATTCCCTCCCCATGGGGTTTTTACTATTTTATTGCATTACAACTTGGAAATAAAGACTTTTATTTGGATTTTATGTAATGCACCGACACACAATAGTCACAATAGGTGTTTTTCTAGTTTATCTTGGAATTAAAAAGCCTCTGATTAACCCTATATTTATACACGTCTGTCTCTGAGCGTTAAATACATCAATCAACATAAAATGCTTTGGAAATACATATTAAACACAAAGCGTTTTGTCTGTTGTTCATCTAATAATCCTTT